AACATGGTGCCGGGCATTTGAGGGGGCCCTCGCTGTTGTCACTTTTCAAACATTTTACAGGGGGGACCACAAAACGCTGAAAAACGAAACTTTAGCATCAGTCGCAATTTCATCATCATCATCATCACCATCATCATCATCATCACATCATCATCGTCATCATCATCATCATCACATCATCATCATCATCATCATCATCATCATCATCTGAATGTTGATCATTCTGGAGATGGCACAGCGTACAGCAGCGTAGCACGACGTATGTGTGCAAGTGCATGAGGACGTACAGCAGCGTAGCATGACGTATGTGTGCAAGTGCATGAGAACGTACAGCAGCGTAGCATGACGTATGTGTGCAAGTGCATGAGAACGTACAGCGGCGTAGCATGACGTATGTGTGCAAGTGCATGAGAACGTACAGCAGCGTAGCATGACGTATGTGTGCAAGTGCATGAGAACGTACAGCAGCGTAGCATGACGTATGTGTGCAAGTGCATGAGAACGTACAGCAGCGTTTCATGACGTATGTGTGCAAGTGCATGAGAACGTACAGCAGCGTAGCACGACGTATGTGTGCAAGTGCATGAGGACGTACAGCAGCGTAGCATGACGTATGTGTGCAAGTGCATGAGAACGTACAGCAGCGTAGCATGACGTATGTGTGCAAGTGCATTGAGAACGTACAGCAGCGTAGCATGACGTATGTGTGCAAGTGCATGAGAACGTACAGCAGCGTAGCATGACGTATGTGTGCAAGTGCATGAGAACGTACAGCAGCGTAGCACGACCTATGTGTGCAAGTGCATCAGAACACACAGAAGCGTAGCATGACCTATGTGTGCAAGTGCATGAGAACGTACAGAAGCCTAGCATGACCTATGTGTGCAAGTGCATGAGAACGTACAGAAGCGTAGCATGACGTATGTCTGCAAGTGCATCAGAACGTACAGCAAATGACGCTATTATCCCACCCACCCCACCCCACCCGCCCCACCCCAACACCCCCCACGCCGCCACGCCCGCTGGTAGGGCCCCGTCCCCAGCCAGCCCCCTCATCCCCAGGGCCCCATCCCCCGCCCCGAAGGGCAACCGCCCCCAGCCCCGCGCTGCTTCTGGCTCCTGTTCTTTGTTTTTGTGTAATGTCAAAAAGTGACAACAGCGAGGGCCCCCTCAAATGCCCGGCACCTAAAACATGCTAAACCTAAACCATGCCGACTGACTCGCAATGCCAGAGCCAGGACTCATCTGTTGCCCATTGGATTCTTTCAGCAAACCCGGGCTTGAGGAATCCCGAACAAAAAACACCCCACTTGCTGTGATACACACATATATATATATGTCCATGTAATACATACCGTCTACTATCCACGGTTGTTTCTGCTGAAATCCCGCTTCATCTCAAATGTTGCTGGTCCAGAGAAAAAAACATCCAACCGAGGGATGTGTGTGTGTGTGTCTGTATATATATATATATATGTACGTGTATATATATGCGACAAAATATAATCAAGCAATTCAGAAATTACTTATTCGCTGCAACCCTGACGTTGCTCCGCGTCTGACTTCAGGTGGCTATGAAGATAAAGTTTATGTTATTACCAACCTCAATCAACATATTGTTCATAAGGGGTGGCAAATTGTTCTCTGATGAAGATAAAGATGATGTTATTAGCCCAATCAACATATTGTTCATAAGGGGTGGCGGATTTAGATCCCTTATGAAGATAAAGATGATGTTATTACCCAATCATCATCATCATCATCATCATCATCATCATCTGGAGCAACGTCCGGGTTTGGGCGTACTTATTTGATTAATTAGTTGATTAATCAATCAACTGATGTATACATATGTAATATATATATATATATATCATTATGTAAAGTATCTGTGGATAAATCACAATGACTCACTGACCTTTTTGATAAAATAAAGATGTATTTTTTGGCCATTTTGGGATGGTTACACCTACTATTCGTTCGGAACGTCACCCCGTTCGGTTGCTGTAATTCATCCAGGTGATCCACATCCCTCGCAAGTTCCAGATGTCCAACATCTGAGTCATCTGTGTATGACTGAAAATAGGGGCAAAACCATGGAAAAGCACCCAAAAAATAGGGAACCCCACCAAAATAGGGGAAAACCCCGAAAAACTATAAAAAAAACATCCACTGCTTTTCCGCATCATGTTCCCAATGAAAAATGGCACAACTTTGGCCGCGTATGTCCACTTGAGACCCGTTGCAAAGACAACTTTCCATCTTTATCTGCATCAATCTCCTCAACGACTTGATGCGATCGAAGCAGGGTGCTATGATTCAGCTATGGGATGTTCGCCATCAGAAGGTTTGGGTGGTCAAAACCCTGGCACCCTGATGTTCCCATCAAAATAGATGGATTTTTTGGATGCTCATCCCACCTAGTCATATGATATTTTAAAGATGTTGATCCCCTCTGATTCAGATTTTGTTCAACAATAATGACATGCAATAGTGAGGCACCGCCTCTTTGTACGAACCTGGGAAGTTGCTAATATAATATATATATTCCGGGACCAAAAAAGGAATAGATCCAATACTAAACCACTTGGGGGTGTATCCAAATCAATATTTTGGGGACAGCCATCGTCCCAACTCACCCAAAATCTCACCATCGCACAAGAGGAAAGGAGGTTCCTCCTGTTGGAGGTCTCCTAACATGGGGTATACGGTATACCCCTAGTTATCATCCATCTTTTGTTGCTGATTTTCCATCAACCATCCAGCTATTGGGGAATCCCCCATTGGAAGCCCCCATGTCTCAGCTCCATGGCCATCCCATGTCTCCTCAAGGATGGTTTTCACGTCTCTTCCGGCAATCCTTGGACACTCTTCGATGATCTCGTTCCCAGTGTGCTATTCCACCACTGGCACTTGCCCATTTTTGTGATGCTTAGATGGCTTAGATCAGATGATCTCCCATAAACTCCATGGATAAAATCCCCATGATCATGGAATTCTTGGCTTAAACTCAACTTCAAAAATAGTGTTCAATTAATCAATCCCATTTTTGCTGGGTTACAGTAGATTTTTTCCCATGCCTGCGCTCCAGGTGCTAAGGCTGTCACGCGTGGGCTTGGTGATCGGCAAATTCCAGGACCTCCGCCAGAGAGACCTCGGCGATCAGATCGGGATTTCTGGAGGAAAAACATGGAATCAATGGATGGGTTTTGTTGAGAATCTTAACAGGAAACCATGGAGTTTTTACCATCAAATTGATCGGGGTTTCTGGTCAAAATGTTCCCATGATGCAATTCTATGATGGAAAAAACCAGGGGATTTTCATGGGAATTTTCATGGGGATATTTTCTCGTGAGATCATGAACAATGGAGGTATACTGCGGATTTTTCAACATCTTTAAACCCACGATATGTGACAAACATGGGATGTACATTGTGGATTCACATGGCCACAGAACTAACAATATGAGGATTGCATGGAATAATATAACTCCGATTAAAACATGGATAGTAATCATGGGGATTCAACAAACAAACATGTAATAATGAGGGTCGCTCTCAACACCCCAGATACGGGCGGAAAACCGGATAAAGAGGTACACAGATGTACAAATGACAAAACACATAGCCATCATTTGCCTAAAATTGGTTAAACAAACCTTGTTGGGCCGGTAAGGAGATTGGTTACGATGGGGTCTTGGGATTCTCAGAAAAGGATTGGTGAATGATTGTTGTTTGAATGTATATAGAGCGGCATATATATATATATACATAACATACATACATACATTACATTACATTACATTACATTACATTACATTACATTACATACATTACATACATTACATACATACATTACATACATACCTTACATACATACATTACATTACATACATTACAATCCATAAATACATACATACATACATACATACATACATACACAGACTTACTTACTTACTTACTTACTTACTTGCTTACTTACTTACTTACTTACATATATACATACTTACATACTTACATACATACACACACATACATACATACATGCATGCATGCATACATACATACATACATACATACATTACATTACATTACATTACATGACATTACATTACATACATACATTACATACATATATTACATACATACATTACATACATACATTACATACATACCTTACATACATACATTACATTACATACATTACAATCCATAAATACATACATACATACATACACAGACTTACTTACTTACTTACTTACATATATACATACTTACATACTTACATACATACATACACACACATACATACATACATGCATGCATGCATGCATACATACATACATACATACATACATACATACATTACATTACATACATTACATTACATTACATTACATTACATTACATTACATACATACATACTTACATATATACTTACATACATACTTACATACATACTTACATACATACATACATACACACACACATACACATATACACACATACACACATACACACATACACACATACATACATACATTACATTACATTACGTTACATTACATCACATTACATTACATTACATACATACATACATTACATACAGACATACATACATACATACATACATACATACATACATACATACATACATACATACATATATTTATATATATATACCAGCACGTTCAAAGGGGTGCCTAATGAATTTCAAGAATTGAGATTCTTAAGGGGTTCCTAATGGACACCCCTTAGCGTTCATGGAGATGGCACACCAGAAAATGATGAGTTCCAACCCAAAATCTTCCAAACCCACAGGGTGCACCCGACTTCATTTTTGGCGAGAAGAAATGCATGCGTTTCTTTTCGCGTCGGATGTAGAGTGCTCCCAAATTTCAAGAAAACTAGTCAAAATCGACACGAAATGACACGCGCAGGGGTTGTTCAAAAAGCACCCGACACGTTTCTAAGGGGTGCTTATTAGACACCCGTTTGCCTAAGGGGTGCTTATTGGACACCCCCTACCGACAGACACGACACGGCAATGACACGCAATGACACGCATGTTGTTCTTGATTTCTCAAAAAAAACTCGTGACCACTCATGACCGACACGACACGGCAATGACACGAAATGACACGCATTTCTGGAAGCAAACGTGGGGAAATCGAAGAACAATGCACATATTACTATGAATACCTCATTATCTGTTAGTTTGGAACCTCAAAAATTCAGGGGTGCCTAATGGTTTCCCCACTTAAGGGGTGCCTAATTGAGACCCGTTTGTACATCCTGGTATACATATATATATACATATTATATATATATGTACATACAATATATATATATAATTATATCATATGATCAAACCTCATCAAACAAGAATATAGCTAGCCCTAGTTTTTTTTAAGCATTGGTATCTATATCATATGTATATATATATTATCCTAGCCAAGCTATGCCTATCCCCTCCTCAAACGTGGCAGGAAAAATGTCCCGCGCCTTGCCATCGCCGTTCTTGTCGAACTTCGCATGCAGTGCCCGCAGCTTGTCCTTGCCTTTGGCGCATCACAGCTGAAACAAGCTGGAGGGAAAAAAACATGAAAAACCAAGGGAAAATGGTGAGTTAATCAAGAAACTTGGCTGATTTCCATGGGAATTGTTGAAAAACCATGGGAAATTGTGTGAGAACTGTGCGAACCAAGAAAATTGGCTGATAATGAATGATGGATTTGTCTGGCTGATTTTTGATAGCAACTCTGCAAGGTATATAAAGTTATATATATATATAGAATATAGCAACCCCCAGTCATAGATACAAGACTTGGAAATCTGGACATCTGTGGAATGGACACATCATCTTTTTCACATCACATCCTAGAAACACCTGTTGGCATCTTGGGGATCCATGATTCACGGGATCAATGTAGCTCGAATATGTTCTTGCCGCAGATTCATCCTGGAGCAGATAGAAATCAGGAAATGTCAGTAAATTAGCACTGTTTATATATGTATGTACATGTATCTGTTAGATATATACAAATCAGCCTTACATGTATATATATATACATATAATTGGGAAGATTTGTTGTTTGAAATCATCATTGAGATCCACAAATTGGACATACTTCCATGATTCGATTGCCGATTTACAAAAAAAATGATTTCGGATAACCCCAACACATACAGCTTCACATATGCATAGTTCCGCAATTGGATTTTTTCTCAATTTATGTGTTGAAACGTTTTCGAGTTGGGCATTGGTTCAAATCATTGACCCCCAAACAAATACCGGCTGGTAAACGTTTACATAACTATGGAACATCACCAGTTTTAATGGGTAAATCCACTATAAATGGCTATTTTCAATAGCAAACTGTTAGTTTACCAGAGGGTATCCCAAAGTTCCGACATGAGATTGCGGTCAAATCCCCTGGTTCAGGTCTACGACGTTGCCCATTTGGCCATTTGGCGACTGAAAAACCACATGTTTGGTGGCTAAAATCCCTGCACATCCAAGGTTTAGAGTTCAGTCATTGAATGTCATGTCATATGTCATTATACATATATATATATACTGTGTATATATATATATACTGTGTATATATATATATGTGTATAATACCTTACACTTGTACTTATACTATGTACACATTCTGGTATGGTTCCCTTAGTTTGCGGATTCTTCCTCACTTTATTCCCATCAACTCTTGGAGAGTGGTTTATGATATGTTAGTTATAGTTGTAAGTTATAACTCATTTATAGATCGGATAACGGATAACTATGGAAGACTCACTTGGCGTACTATCCACTGACAATTCGAAGGATGATCCTCAAAGTATTGCAACCCCTTCAACAAAAGTGCTGAAAACATCATCGAACTACCATCCTGGCACACTTTTCGGCATCTCTTTGGGTTCCGAAAAGTTGTCCTCCAAGTCACTGATGGTTTCCTCCAGATCCTCACCCTCCTCCTCCTCATCCATCAGTTCCTCTGCCAAAGAGACCACCAGCAAAGAGACCCAAAACCTCTCAGTTGCCACAGCCACCGCGGAGGATTTTTTGGTCATGTTACTTCAAAGTCGTGGAAAGCATTTGATACCCCTCAAAAACATTATATTTTGATGTATTTTGAGAGATCAAAACTACCTCCGCAACAAAAAACAAGAAGCTGATCTATAAAACATTACGCAGCAAGTTTTGGACTGGAAATGCGATTTTCAACCTACCAAGAAATGGGTTTTACAAATTCATAACCACCCAAATCGTACAAATACAGCCAGAACCACCCAAATATTAGACCATATATGGTATCAACCAAATCACAACATATGAATGATATTGAATTTTACAATATTATATCAATAAAATCACCACCAAATATTGCAGTACAACCAACAAATACCATATGTGAGACAACGCGGGTCAAATCAATACTATTGCGCAGGATGAATCCCAATCTTTGCAGCTTGAATCACAACTTGGCACTTAGAACTATCCCTTTTCTTAGGTGGATTTCATCCACTTTGTTGCTTGGATATTGCTGAAGTATGCTGAAGTCATGTAAGTCATCTCCATGTGTGGTGCTTTCTATGTTGTGCTTCAATCACAGTTATGGCCATTTACCAGTTATAACTGGTTATTAATGGGATTATACATTCTATAAATGGGGTTATAAGTACTTATAACTGCTAAATGGCCATAACTGCAACTTTTTGTCGCTGAAAAACTCCCTGGTTCTCGTTGCGGCTGGTGCTTCCAAGACGCCATCTCCAAAGCCCCATGGCGAAGCCCTGCGCCGCGTCGCAGCCGGAGATCACCGGTTTTTCGATGAAAAAACGCTGCGGGGCGATCCGGAAAAACCCTCAGATTCTGTGAATCATGTGGGGTTCCATAAATCGGGAATCCCCAAGCAGGCTGCGGTTTAGCTGGTTGGTTTAGAAGGGAAGTTTTCCATCAATGGATGAGAACTCGGGGTAGCTTCATTTCAGGAAACCTCCAAATGCTTATTGATTTTCATGGAACTTCAGAATTGACTGGTACCTAAAGTCAATCTTACTTGTATAATGATGCACAGCATAGAATAAATATGAGATTACAGATATGTCCACTCAATTATATATAACTGTTGGCAGGTTTATTTCAGTGGATAGGAGTAGATATATATATATATATGTATATATTGTATGGTTCATGGTTCACTACGCTGGCTTTCCATTGCAATGCTAAATGACCAGAAGGTATCCAGATTTCATTGTACAAAGCAAATTGTCCATCACACATGCCACATTTTTCTTTGGGTATACCGGGAAAGACCATACCCCCTTTCTGGACACATCCATTTTTGAACCGACACAGACCGATGCATCACATCTATGCCCATTGGCGCACGTGCCGCCCGTGCCCTGTTGGCACCGGCGCATCCGGCAAAATGGGATGAGCTGGTGCTGTAGATTGATTCCACTGGCTGAAACATCAACCATGGCAGCTGGAAATCACCCAGAAAATGGAGATGTTTTTCCGGGAAAAAACATGTCGGACATATAGGAAAAATTGGGGAAAATACACTGGATTTTCCAAATGGAAAGCCAATCTATATCTGCGGCATTTTCCTTTGCCATGTGTGATTGTCAAAGGGTAATCATGGGTAATTGTCTAATTATAACTTATTGGAATTACTGATGGTTATAACTTTCACTGTGACCAGTCCATACCACTTGCTGGCAGGTCGGCTGAACAGAAACCTACATATCCTACATTACTCTTGCAGGATTACTCTCAGTGAACCTCTGACATCATGCCATGCTTCATTTTTCACAGCAATTTCTCAGATTGAAAAATTATACACCATAGTATACTATACAAATACTATATATATATATAAATACCAGTAGTATATTCATCTGGGTAAATTATAATATTTCACTAACCTCAATGGTCCGGCCATGCATGGGGATGATTTCCCTAAACTAAACCATGATTCCAGGCGGCGGGAGAACAGTGAGGTCGTTATAATTTACCCAGACTGTTGGGATGATATTCATTGTATCACTATATTACCCATTGGTGATATATCCCAAATACCATAGTAATAATTTAATAATTCATATGTGACAGTGAACATAGTTTGTTTAGTATGGCAGTTTGAGACATCTTGAGATTCGGAGTCCAGATCTGTAGACTCAATTTGCGGCGCATTTTTTGCCGCGCCAACCGTATTAGTTGGCGAGTCGGAGCGGGATTAGTTGGCACATCCGGATCTAAGGCTGGCGCAAAATGTGGACCCCAAACATCTCACCAGTTCAACTGCGGGATGTATGTGACCCAACGTTTACATTCACGAAAAAAAAAACTTCCTATAGAATTGGCTTCAAAAACATCAGTTTGATCCGTTTCAGGGTGACAAATGCCCTGTTCCAACGGCATGTCAAACGCCTGTTCTGCACAGTGTTTTGTGAAGATTTTGGAGGGATTCTATCAATTCAGGTGTCACCGGTCATACAGAACAAACCTTCCAGGCTAGTTTTGAGTTGGTTATATTATATAGCACCTATGTATATATATATATATATAATTATATAATAATAATAATCCATTGTATGTCAATGTCTAAGTTCAACAAACAACTATAGGTTTGTCCAAGAATCGGGTACCCTCCACACCAAACCGTGAATCATCATATCACGTGGTAAAATTGCTATTTCGGAGTATACCGTACTATGTTGTGATAGACAGATCCAAATTAATGGGGTTGCCATGATTTTCCTATTTTATGTTTGGTAAATCCCGTTTTACAGTTGGCTAAAAGCTCAATATCCCTATTAATGTCCTTTAACACATGTGAGGGTTGTTGTAACCCCTTGACCATATCTTCTCTTCACACGGGCTGTCGTCACAGAGCAATAGGTATGTCGCAGGCGTCCTCGGTGTTTTCGGGGCGCGTGCAAGCTCCTGATGATTCACTTGCTGACTTACCTCAAAAAATGATGGTTCAAGAAAATAAACATATTTCAGACCTAATTTTTTGAACCATACAACATAATTAATGGTTTCCTCCTAATAACATATTCATACCAAGCATTACCCAGCTTTTGGGACCCCAACATCATAACAGTGAACCAGGGTTTCCGCAGATTCTTTTAATTTTAAACTCTATTAGGGGCATGGGATTAATCAAACCAACGCGGTGAGATCCCAAAATAAATGGGATTGCCTCAAATATATGAGCAATTCATGGGAGAAAACGAACTGTCTCAACCATGAATGAGATTTAGAGATTGTTCCATAGCTTTCCAAATCAGTCCCAGTCAGTCCAAGGGTCTGGGTAAATTACAATATTTCACTAACCTGAATTAAGGCCAGTTGGGGATCATTTCCCCTACTAACTATGATTCCAGGGTTCGGGAGAACAGTGAGGTCGTGATAATTTACCCAGACTGTTGGGATGATATTCATTGTATCACTATATTACCCATTGGTGATATATAGCCCAAATACCATAGTAATAATTCATATATAACTCAGTCCCAGTCAGTCCAAGGGTGTTGTAGGATACCTGTAGAATAACATAGAATATTCTTCCATGGTTACATAGTGTTCTAATTCTTCGTAGGATTCCCTCTGGTAAACTCACCGTTTGCCATGGAACATCACCATTTTTCATGGGTAAATCAACTGTAAATACTATAAATGGGCCATGTTCAATAGCAAACTGTAACAAATTACCTTAAGGTAGTAAGTAGGTTATAACCCCAGTTATAGGTGGATTAAGCCTACTTATCCCACTTATAACTAGGGATATAACCACCATTTTCACCAGTAAAACGTGGCATAATCCATTCGTTCCATCCAAGTCCAAGTCTAAGGCTCGAGTACATCCTCCTTCACCCGACTCTTTCGTGACCCCAGCAGAAGTGGTGCAGCTGTTGCAGTAGTCACAGGTGGAACGGAGGGCAGATGCAGTTTCTTGCTTCGCTTGTAGGCCAGGAGGTAGTAATATCCATCCCAAGTCCTAACTCTGAAATTGCGGCGGAATTCTCCATTTTTTTCGGAACGCCAAAGTGAAATAGAATTATAAATCACATTAAATAGAATTAAATCACATGAAATCACATGAAATCACCATGTTTTGCATCACATGCCAAGTTGCCAGCGACCCGCCCGTAATTGACGCTGCTCCGGTGAATCCGCCGACCAGTCGTAGGGGTTCATGATCTAAGGGCTGAACCAATGATTGAGATAGATGGGTACCCTCTGGTAAACTAACAGTTTGCTATTGAAAATGGCCATAGAAATAGTGGATTTACCCATTAATAATGGTGATTTTTCAGTTCGCTATGTTAAATTACCAGAGGGTAATTTTGGGCGTTCACAAAACAATCATTACAATATCATAGCAAATTTGGGGTTAGAAATATTTTGTCACCATTATCCAAGGTTTGATGGTCAAAAGTGAAAAGATCCAGTTTTCTATGGTCGTCCCATTCTTCGGGGTGCAGCTGAGGTGAAAGAAATGGTCGGCTGAGTATGGTATAATATGGTTTTAAACCCCCAGGTTGGGATATAACCCTTATAATTCTGGCCTCATATCTATATATATATATATATAAGTGGAACTGCACGCCCAAGTATATAGTCACTTAGTGGAACCATGGCGATAGCCTTTGAACTTCTGTTTTTTAGGCAACAATACATTGGAGACAGTCGGATACGGAAATATTTGAGGATTCATGGACGTGAATGGATCTGAATTAGATACATATAGATAGGTAGATAAATAGATTGATTGATTGCTCCATATAAGGGATAGATACATCCAGGGAGATAGATCGACATTTTGCGATATAAAAATATGATGCATAAATACGTACACCACCAAAGGATACCAAAGGTAGATAGATAGATAGATAGATAGATAGATAGAGATATAGTGCCGGACATATACTTAGAACATTGGTTTTGGAATTCCAAAACATGTTCTAAGTAGAGATCCTGGACCACTACTTAGAACATATATGTTCACGGGATGTTCTAAGTAGAGGTTTTGGGGGTTCCCCCATGTTCTAAGTAAGAATCTCCCCAGCTATCTACGTGCATTTTTGGAAAATCCTGTGTATATATAATATATTTTTAATATTGTAGTTGTCCGGCACTATATATTCATATAATAAAAACTTTCCGAACCTGATGTTCGAATTGTAGCCTCTCACCTAGAGCATCCGGATCCATTCGCTCATTTTGTTCAGCTCAATATATGTCCCGCTGTAGGATCTCGAATCTCGAATCTCGTCCCGCTGTAGGCTTTGGACCATTCCAACCGCTCAATCGGTCATATAATTTCAATATACAACGTATCTTAACGCAACATCACACCACCTGTATATATAATATAAATATGCAGTGTTAAGTTGTATGTATGTATACATATACATATATTTACATGTATATATGATGGCATGTTCTAAGTAGAGGATCCTCATATGTTCTAAGTCACTTAGAACATACGTCCCCCTATTCGCCGAAAATGTTCTAAGTAGAGCGCGCGTACCCACCGAAAAATTTCCAAAACGATGTTCTAAGTAGTTGTCCGGCGCTATAGATAGATAGAGATAGATAGATAGAGATAGATAGAGATAGATAGATAGAGATAGATAGATAGAGATAGATAGATAGATAGAGATAGAGATAGAGATAGAGATAGATAGATAGAGATAGAGATAGATAGATAGATCGATAGATCGATAGATCGATAGATCGATAGATCGATAGATCGATAGATAGACAGATAGACAGATAGAAAGATAGACAGATAGACAGATAGACAGATAGACA